ATAAATCGATATAGTAGAATGTATATTTAGAATGATAAATGAACTATTTCTATACTTTTTTCAGGTACATTAAATACTTACCGATGGAATACAACAGGTATTACTATACTAAATTCATCGCAAGTAGCATTAGTGGCTGAGATATTTTTCGACTCAAGTGGGACAATGTATGTGGCGGATGAATCTAATTATGTTGTATGGAAAGTATTGAATAATACAACAACTCCGATTCTAGTAGCTGGACAATTGACATCAGCTGGTTCTAGTGCCAGTCAATTATATAATCCTCAAGATGTTTATATTGATTCAAATAACAACATGTATGTCAGCGATTGTTTAAATCATCGAGTACAAAAATATGTAAATGGATCAACTATTGGAACGACATTTGCCGGACTAAGTGCATCATCTGGTGCAGCATTAAATCAATTGAGTTACCCTCGACATTTTTCGGTTGACCCAACACAAACATATATGTATATTGCAGACGATAATAATAATCGAGTTATGCGTTATCCAATGAATTCAACAACAGGTACTAACGGACAGGTTGTTGCTGGAGGTGCTGGAGCTGGAAATACGAATACACAATTGGATAACCCTTGGGGAATTTACTATTTACCAACAGTAAGTAATTATATGTATATAACCAATGCTGCTGGTCATTCAGTGATGCGATGGGTACCAGGTGCTTCGTCTGGTGAGTTTATTGCTGGTACGCCAGGTGCATCAGGATCCAACGCAACAACTTTAAACACTCCCTTAGGTATAAAACTTGATTCTTATCTTAATATGTTTGTTGTTGATTATTTAAACCATCGTATTCAAATGTTTTGTCAAAACAATCAAACTGGTATAACGATTATCGGTAATGGTACTGCCGGTAATAGTGCAGCACAGTTGAACTCACCAAGAGGTCTCGCATTCGATTCATCGATGAACTTGTATGTTAGTGATGGGACAAACCATCGTGTTCAGAAATACTTGAAACTGTAAAGTGTATCGATAATGCA